TTAAGGCTCCTCTTAGTTTGGCCAATGTAAATTAAACCGCACTGGCAAGGAATCCTATAATACCCCATGAATTCATATCCGGAATGGGGTCCTTGAGTATGGAACTCGGAATTTTATTGATGGGAGAGTAAACAACCCGAAAGTTAAATTTCTGCAAAATTTGTGCACTTTATATAATTAATTGATGGAAAGAGGGAATGACAACAGAATTTTTATAATCTCCTAAAATAAGAGTGTGGCTTTTAGTGTGTTGAGATGAGAATTTTTTTAATTTAACTGCTTGATTAATAATGTTGGTGAAAAGCCCCTGTCAATAGCTATTGCTTTTAAATAATTTAGTTCTTCATCAAGGGCTAGTTTGGAGGAGCAAACTTGAAGAGCACGGAAAACATAGGAATAAAATGAAGCTAACTTTTGTTTAGTCGGATGACATGATTTAAAGTGTGGTGGAAGGCAAACCGATGAAGGTTTACGGTAAACTGTAGTACTGAAGTTGGATGTGTTACTTGTGACCAGAATGTCGAGAAACGGAAGAGAATTGCAAGTCTCAAGTTCAAAAGTGAACTGAATAGCAGGATCAATAGAATTCATTGTTGAAAGAACTCTATTTAAAAAATCATCTTTATTACCTTCAACAGGGTAAAAGTATCGTCTACGTAGCGGAACCATGCCGGGAAGTTTAAGTTTCAAACAATTTTGATTCATAATATGCATGTAGATATCAGCCAGGATGGGACTGAGGGGGCTTCCCATGGCTAATCCCTCAGTTTGCTTGTAATATTTATTTTGGAAAACAAAATGTGTTTGTTTCAAACAGAGTTGAGTGAGAGAAATTAGCTCATCAATTTCGATGCAAGAGAAATGAAATTCGCGAAGTCTGGTTTTTAGACATCTTAATGCACCCTCCACTGGGACATGAGTGAATATGATTTTACATCAAAAGAAACCATGAGTAAATTACGAGGAGAAATGTTTTTTAACCTTTTTTAAACAAACTCTATTGAATTTTTTATGGTGTAATGTTATTGTCTAATAGAGTGGAAAATCTAGAAACTAAATATTTACTAATGGATACGAGGCAGTACCTAAATTTGATACAATAGGGCGGAAAGGAATACCACTTTTATGAATTTTGGGAAAAAGCATATAATCTGGCACAATTCGCAAAGATGGGATAAGCGAATGTTTTAAGTTGCTTGAAATGATTTGCGAAGATTTGATCGCAGTTTTTTTATTTTGGATAAGTCCGAAGTGAGGATCTTTAGGGATCGGATTATATGGTCCTTCGTTTAAGAGTTTAGTGACACCATCGATGTAGTGTTCTTATCCATGACGACTATCTGGCCACCTTTGTCGGCCTTTGAAACGACAATATATCCGGGTTAGAATGAATCTCGCGCATTTAGCTCTTCTCTCGCAGTAGATTGGTTTCAAAGGTTTATTATTGAATTTCACATTATGAGCGATAAGATGCCTAATCATTTCTTTCTGTGAATCTGAAACTTTACTGAACTTGAAAGCTTTTTCGATAGGAGCCAAAATCTTTGGAATCGAGGGTTTACAGGTTTGTGAGAAGTTAAATTATATTTTAGAATTCTTGTTCTTCTGAAAGACTAACATTAGAAATATTACTATTGGCTTGATGTTACAATGGGAAGATTTTTTGAACTACTTGAACTGGAAGACTGTAAAAGAAGTTTTTCGAATTTAACTGCAAGGCTGTTTTTTGACGGTTAACTGCATTCTCCGTTCTAGAACCAAGACTTTTGTTCAAGGGCAGTGAATTTTTGGATGTTTTTAGCGATTCTAAAATATAATTTTAACTTCTCACAAACCTGTAAACCCTCGATTCCAAAGATTTTGGCTCCTATCGAAAAAGCTTTCAAGTTCAGTAAAGTTTTCAGATTCACACAGAAAGAAATGATTAGGCATCTTATCGCTCATAATGTGAAATTCAATAATAAACCTTTGAAACCAAATCTAACTGCGAGAGAAAGAGCTACAATGCGCGAGGATTCATTCTAACCCGGATATTGTCGTTTCAAAGGCCGACAAAGGTGGCCAGATAGTCGTCATGGATAAGAACACTTACATCGATGTTGTCACTAAACTCTTACAAGAAGGGACCAATAATCCGATCCCTAAGATCTTCACCTTCGGACTTATCCAAAATAAAAACTGCGATCAAATCTTCGCAAATCATTCAAGCAACTTAAAACATTCGCTTATCCCATCTGTTGCGAATTGTGCCAGATTATATGCTTTTCCCAAAATTCATAAAAGTGGTATTCCTTTTCCGCCCTATTGTATCAAATTTAGGTACTGCCTCGTATCCATTAGCTAATATTTAGTTTCTCTAGATTTTCCACTCTATTAGACAATAACATTTACACCATAAAAATTCAATAGAGTTTGTAAAAAGGTTAAAACATTTCTCCTCGTAATTTACTCATGGTTTCTTTTGATGTAAATCATTATTCACTCATGTCCCAGTGGAGGGTGCATTAAGATGTCTAGAAACCAGACTTCGCGAATTTCATTTCTTTGCATCGAAATTGATGAGCTAATTTCTCTCACTCAACTCTGTTTGAAAAAACACATTTTGTTTTCCAAAATAAATATACAAGCAAACTGAGGGATTAGCCATGGGAAGCCCCCTCAGTCCCATCCTGGCTGATATCTACATGCATTATTATGAATCAAAATTGTTTGAAACTTTAAACTTCCCGGCATGGTTTCGCTACGTAGACGATACTTTTACCCTGTTTGAAGGTAATAAAGATGATTTAAATAGAGTTCTTTCAACAATGAATTCTATTGATCCTGCTATTCAGTTCACTTTTGAACTTGAGACTTGCAATTCTCTTCCGTTTCTCGACATTCTTGGTCACACGTAACACATCCAACTTCAGTACTACAGTTTACCGTAAACCTTCATCGGTTTGCCTTCCACCACACTTTAAATCATGTCATCCGACTACACAAAAGTTAGCTTCATTTTATTCCTATGTTTTCCGTGCTCTTCAAGTTTGCTCCTCCAAACTAGCCCTGATGAAGAACTAAATTATTTAAAGCAATAGCTATTGATTGACAAGGGCTTTTCACCCAACATTATTAATCAAGCAGTTAAAAAATTCTCATCTCAACACACACTAAAAGCCACACTCTTATTTTAGGAGATTATAAAAATTCTGTTGTCATTCCCTTCTTTCCATCAATTAGCTATAAAGTTGCACATATTTTTGCAGAAATTTAACTTTCGGGTTGTTTACACCTCTCCCATCAATAAAATTCCGAGTTCCATACTCAAGGACCCCATTCCGGATATGAATTCCTGGGGTATTTTTATAGGATTCCTTGCCCAGTGCGGTTTAATTTACATTGGCCAAACTAAGAGAGCCTTAAATTTCGCGTCAAAGAACATGAGGCATATGTTAGAAAAAAGGAAACACAGAAGTCTTCTGTTGCTCAACATTGTTGGTCCGAAAATCACACTTTAAATTTTTCTGCTGCCAAAATTATTCAAAAAAAACATCTTCCATTGGAGAAAAAAAAAAAAAAAAAAAAAAAAAAAAAAAAAAAAAAAAAAAAAAAAAAAAAAAAAAAAAAAAAAATGGATTTTCTAGAGGCATTTCACATTCATAAAAATCTTTCTGTTCTAGTTAACGATCCTAATTCCAATCCAAATTTGCCTTCGGCTTTTAGAGAAATTATGTTTTTTAGTTCTGGTTTCGCCAACAGATGGCGCCACTTGCTTATTCTTGTCCAGGCTTCTTATCTTATAAATATTATTTCCTATCTTATTCATTTGCGGTTTTGCAGCTGAAGATGATGGTTCGGTAAAACCATTGAAACTAGTCCTGTGAAAATTTTGCAAATTTACGCTGATTTTTGTTGTTTGACTTCTGAATTAGGAAGATATTTATCGCAAATTGTTACTTTTGGATCCTATTGAAATTGTGTTTCTAGAAAATACACAAAGTGATATCAACAAAATTAATAATGGATAAATATAGTGATTATACTTTACTTTTAAAATGCTAAAACAGATAGTTTAAGAAGGTCAGAATTCATCTAGCATAATTTGTATAAACCTTAGTACACCTTCAGTACTTACACATCCAAGCTGAACATGTTTCACATCCAAGCTGAATTGTAATGAATTATAGCCCAGAATGTTTTTATACAAAGCAAGAAATTTAAATATCCCCAATAAAACAGATCTACATATTTTTTCATAATTCCATTTTTATTTTTTATAATATCATATATTTATTGCATCCTCCTGTAGGGATGCTTGTAGAAAAATGAATATAAGTTCACATAATTGTAGAAGTATGCAACTTATTAATGAAGCAGTGAAGTGTTCCCTAAAACACTTTATAAGATGCGTATGCATTAAAAAATACCAGGGTTAATCTCGGCAATACAGAACTCACTGTCACGACGTCCCTGCGAACGCAGCTCGGATAGATTTTTCAACAGGTTCAAAGTAGAAACGGAAGCGCTGACTCATCTTCCCTACGTTTCTACTCCGTCGAAGTGAGCGTTTACATTGTCAAAGTAATCGTAACGAGCGACTCACTCCGAGCCGCTCTGACAGGTGTAAATTGACCTTTAGGTTCGTTTTATTGCTATTACAAATGGTATAAACCGGATAATCGCTTTGATAAATTGTTTGGGAGTTTCAAAATTAAGTTCGAATACTAAAACATACTCATTGCCCCCTACCACCCAAAACAAGTTCACCGCCCCGCAGCATTTTCTTACTGCTAACCTGGGGGCGGTATCGCCCCCGTTGAGAAACAATGACATATACCAATCTAAGGCTACTTTTTTGCCTAACTTTAAATCCTAAAATAATTCACGTAAGAAAAATCTAGCCCAATAATACGCCAATAAAAGGATGCTTTACCAATTGCTTTAAGTAAAATGCATATAATATTTAATGGCTCAAAAATTATTCTGCATTAAAAGTGGGTTGCATAACATTTACTAACTTGATGATACGGGATTAAACAAACAGCGGCGCTGTTGCCTTTAAAGGGATGTTTTGTGAAGGCATCAACAATGTAGAGAGATACTTTGATTTCTTTAGATTTATAGGAATTAGCCATTTTAAACAAACAACTAGTAGTAGTAAGGAAGTACGGTGTCAATTCCACCTACTTCAACCCGCGGTATCTTTTGAAAACAACACCTTTAAGAGTTTAGTAGTTTGACATCATCTTGTAATTGTAAACTTTTTTTTTTAATATTTGTGTCACTGTTTTATAATCTACTACTCGTAATGTAGAACTTAAAGTATATTTTTAACATGCCATTAAAAATTACATCCAATGCTTTTAAACATTTGATATCTTCATTCAAACTATCTTAGCCTCTATTCTGGATTTTTTAATGACACTCTTAACTTTATTTGTATGTTCTTCATATATTTACTTCTTAAATTATAATACAATGGAACGAATAACAAAATAATTAATAACCAAATAATTAATGAATTA